TAGTTACTACGCCACTGATAATGTAGTAACTACACCACTGATAATGTAGTTACTACGTCACTGATAATGTAGTTACTACCCCACTGATAATGTAGTTACTACGCCACTGATAATGTAGTTACTACGCTACTCATAATGTAGTCACTACCCCACTGATAATGTAGTCACTACGCCACTGATAATGTAGTTACTACGCTACTGATAATGTAGTGACTACACCACTGATAATGTAGTTACTACCCCACTGATAATGTAGTTACTACGCCACTGATAATGTAGTTACTACGCCATTGATAATGTAATTTACTACACCACTCATAGTGTCGTTACTACGTCACTGATGATGTAGTTACTACACCACTGATAATGTAGTTACTACACCACTGATAATGTAGTTACTACGTCACTGATGATGTAGTTACTACACCACTGATAATGTAGTTACTACGTCACTGATAATGTAGTTACTACCCCACTGCTAATGTAGTTACTACGCCACTGATAATGTAGTTACTACGCCAGTGATAATGTGGTTACTACCCCACTGATAATGTAGTTGCTACGCCACTGATAATGTAGGTACTACGCCACTGATAATGTAACTACACCACTGATAATGTAGTTACTACGTCACTGATAATGTAGTTACTACGCCACTGATAATGTAGTTACTACGCCATTGATAATTTAATTTACTACACCACTCATAGTGTCGTTACTACGTCACTGATGATGTAGTTACTACACCACTGATAATGTAGTTACTACACCACTGATAATGTAGTTACTACGTCACTGATGATGTAGTTACTACACCACTGATAATGTAGTTACTACACCACTGATAATGTAGTTACTACGTCACTGATAATGTAGTTACTACCCCACTACTAATGTAGTTACTACGCCACTGATAATGTAGTTACTACATCACTAATTATGTAGTTACTACCCCACGGATAATGTAGTTACTACACCACTGATAATGTAGATACTACGCCACTGATAATGTAGTAACTACACCACTGAGAATGTAGTTACTACGTCACTGATAATGTAGTTACTACCCCACTGATAATGTAGTTACTACGCCACTGATAATGTAGTTACTACGCTACTCATAATGTAGTCACTACCCCACTGATAATGTAGGCACTACGCCACTGATAATGTAGTTACTACGCTTCTGATAATGTAGTGACTACACCACTGATAATGTAGTTACTACCCCACTGATAATGTAGTTACTACGCCACTGATAATGTAGTTACTACGCCATTGACAATGTAGTTACTACACCACTCATTGTGTCGTTACTACGTCACTGATGATGTAGTTACTACACCACTGATAATGTAGTTACTACACCACTGATAATGTAGTTACTACGTCACTGATGATGTAGTTACTACACCACTGATAATGTAGTTACTACGCCACTGATAATGTAGTTACTGCACCACTGATAATGTAGTTACTACACCACTCATAATGTCGTTACTACGTCACTGATGATGTAGTTACTACACCACTGATAATGTAGTTACTACACCACTGATAATGTAGTTACTACGTCACTGATAATGTAGTTACTACCCCACTGATAATGTAGTTACTACGTCACTGATTATGTAGTTACTACCCCACTGATAATGTAGTTACTACTCCACTGATAATGTAGTTACTACGCCACTGATAATGTAGTCACTACACCACTGATAATGTAGTTACTATGCCACTGATAATGTAGTTACTACATCACTGATAATGTAGTCACTACGCCACTGATAATGTAGTTACTACACCACTGATAATGTAGTTACTACACCACTGATAATGTAGTTACTACACCACTGATAATGTAGTTACTACACCACTGATAATGTAGATACTACGCCACTGACAATGTAGTTACTACGCCATTGATAATGTAGTTACTACACCACTGATAATGTAGTTACTACACCACTGATAATGTAGTTACTACACCACTGATAATGTAGTCACTGCACCACTGATAATGTAGTTACTACGCCACTGATAATGTAGTTACTGCACCACTGATAATGTAGTTACTTTGCCACTCATAATGTAGTTACTACGCCACTGATAATGTAGTTACTGCACCACTGATAATGTAGTTACTTCGCCACTCATAATGTAGTTACTACGCCACTGATAATGTAGTTACTGCACCACTGATAATGTAGTTACTTCGCCACTCTTAATGTAGTTACTACACCACTACTCACAACGTGTGCGTCCGGCTAAGAGACGCCCAGACGATTTTGGGCGAAAGTCCTGGTATTGTTAAGTCCTGAGCATCCCCTCCCCTACAATAAGGTAACGATGCCGGTTATGCTGATTGACACAGCCTTTGAATGCGCGCAATCGAGCGCACTAACAAGCCGGCTCCAGTGTACTGACCGAGTCAGCCGCCAGGGGTAAGATCGTAGATTCAATACGATCGTCGAGCAATTGAATTTGCCATTCGCGTCGCTGGTAGATATTTCAAAGGTGTTGGTCCGTACGCACGCACGCAGTAGGGAGGCAGACACAGACACACACACACAGAGAGAGAGGGCATGAGCCTATGTCCAAGAGTGTGGTTGACAAAGAGGGTTGTTACACTTGCATTGTGCACGCATGGGAGAGGAAGAAACGTGAGAAGGGGGCGCGTTGCGACCGCTTGGAAAGCCCTCATCTTGAGTGGCGTTAAATTAAAACCTGAAACCATGATCCATCCATATCCCCCCCAACCCCACCACCTGCCCCAACACAATCCCCGTCATGCTATGGTCAGAGAGTCCCCACGCAGTGCGAAGGAGGAAAGCGATTGTTGACTATGAGAGCTTCACCAGAGGCGGAGTTTGACCTCTCTATTTGGGGGGGGGGGAAGGGGGGGCCGCAAAGGGTTCGATTTGTCCCTCGCAATAGGAATGGCGGTGCATATACAGGGTGCTTCTTCAAACATGTTTTTTTTACACTTCTGAGAATTTGCAACAGTAGCACAAGAAATGTGCGTCCGGGGACCACCTGGAGAAGATTCCAGACACGTTGACATTGATAGCGAGCAAGTGACTTTGTGAAGCTATTAACATACATTTGTTATCACGTAACAGTGTGTTTTACGTTCTTTTTCCAATTGATAATTATAATCCGATTTAAGTGTTAACATTTTTTTGAAGCACCGGTAATTATTTTAAAATGGTTTTTTTTGTTTATCTTAATTGTAAACTGCTGAAAATAAATTAATGACGGTGTCCAGTTTTGGGAGGCATTGCCTCCCCCTCCCCCCCCCCAAACTCGCCCACGACCTTCACCTATGGTGGCTATAGGAGATGTTAACTTCCTCGCCCGGTATACAGGAGGTCGTGGGTTTGATCCCAAACTTCACGCCTGCTGCTGCTGTATATTTGGAGTCTGCGTGTCTCCCTCCCTGTGGTCGCGTGGGAGTTTCTCCGGGTCCTCCGAGTTTTTTTCAGCCTCTTCACATTTCAGAGTCAACACGCGTTTAGAGTCTTTGGCCGTTATACATCATTTCTACGCGCTAAGCCACTTAGTTGAAAAAAAAACATTTGTGATAGCCAGGTCGCTTCTGAAAAAACAGAGCCGTATAGGTAGCTCAAGTCGGCCCTTACCTGGCCAAATAAAACATACCTGGTAGAACCTGACCCACCCACCACCCACCCTCCTACCCCCGGGAGAAAAGCCATCGACAGGTGTCCCGTTGATATTTCCAAGCCCCCCACGGGCGACTTAAGGAGGCAATTACCACGCGCGTGACAATAGCCCCGCACAAAATGGGCCCGTGTCAACTTCACCACGAGCGCGGGTCCGGTGTTGTCGCTGCTCCTCCTGCTGCGTTTTGTTGAGCGAGAGAGCAAACAGACAGAGAGAGAGAGAGCCGTGGCTGCATGGGGTGGAGAGGAGGGGGGGGGTACTGGCTACCGCTACAAACGCCAAGAGACACCGTGTGTGTGCGCGCGTGTGTGTTTGAACATTGCAAGGGTTGTCACTGTTACCGTACACAAACGGCAACCCCCTCTTGTTTCTGTGAAGCGAAACGACAGGGCCGTGGGGAGGAGGAGGGCGCGGGGGGGACGGACGTGGGCCCTCCACTTTATCATTCGCTGAATCCAAATCGCGGGGCTCATTTCCCCCACTAAATAAAATGCCCTCACCCCCCCAATGTTGGTTTACGGTCGCTGTGCGTTTCGTCACGCTCGCCGATTCAGGTCGAAAGCGCCCGTGCATTCGCTCGTCCGGGTCTCATCCGTCCGTCTGTAACAGGACGGCACTCATAACCCGCATAACGTGATCCAAATATAACCAGCGGTTTCGGCATGGAGTTGCCTTGCTTTACCGAGGACTTCACTCGACAGAAAATCTACCAAATTGATCGGAGGGTTATTGCCCAAAACTTGATGATTAAATAAAAAAAACCAGCGCTAAAAGTACAAGCCTTCTAGGGCCAAGGCAATAACCTCAATCGTCGTGCGCTCCCCTTCCCCGCACGATGGAGAGCCTTACAGAACTCATTATATGCATGATTTTCCTTGCTTGTTTTAAAGGGGGGGGGGGGGGCATCACGTATGCATGTTGAACTTCTTTCGCACTTTACGTAGCCAACCGTGCTAATCGGAGGTGCGGGGTGAAGGACAACAAACCAAACGCAAAAAAGCAGCTCTAAAGAAATGAGTTTACAAACTAAGTGATTTAAAAGTGCATGGCTCCGGTTGGCTTCTCGGAACGGAAGAGGCGTTCCAGACGGCCGCAGGATCCGCACCTGAAAGCGCGCGACGACGCGGTGACCGCCGCCTTTGCCTCGACGGCCAGCCAAGAATCCGCCGCATGCGAACGACGACCGGAGTCCGCGCGACGATGGCTTGCGCTCCTGGACGACCTCGGCCAATGCGTTGTGGTTCTGTTTCTCGGCGAGCACTTTTTCCGTGCGCAATCGTCGCCTTCGCCGTTGACGCCCGTCTGCCGTGCTTCAGGGCCGGGGCCTGCCAAGTACAAGCTGCCACCTACGCTGGGCCACGGCGGGCACGACGTCTCGAAGCGCGCCAGCCCGGCCTACACCATGTCCGCCCGCTACGACGACCCAAGTACGCGCGCGGCGGCGAGGAGGGTTCGACACCCTCTCTCGGGACGCATTCCTCCGTCGGTCTTGGTTAGATTAGAACACGTGTGCCCCCGTCGGCCCGAGTCGGTGCTCGCTAACAGCACTGGTCGTGCCATCCCCCCCACCCCCTCCCCACGCATACTCTGATGATCACGGTTGGCTACGTGCGGTGCGAAAGAAGTTCAACATACGTACTCGTCCCAATATCATCTGTGCAGGCTACACGGCAGTGGTCTTCGTTGCGAGGTCCGCGCGACCACTGGCGGACCCAGGTGGCCTTTAGTGCGGCCCCTGACAATACGCAACGTCTTCTTTGGTTCTTTCGGTAAAGTCACGTAGAATGAGAATAAAATAATAAATTGATAAAATAAAATAACACAATAAAATTCTCACGACGTTTCGGCCACAACACAAGTGGCCGAAACGTCGTGAGAATTTTATTGTGTTATTTTATATGATTAATTTATTATTTTATTCTCATTCTACGTGACTTTACCGAAAGAACCAAAGAAGATGAATCCTTGCAGTCACGAAAGCTTTAAATCGAAATACACCACGTGTGACAACAACCCCCATCAGCATCGTGCTGTGAAACCCCAAATTATTTCAAGTGTGTGACGGTCCTCACACTGACGTTTTATCGGCGAAAGTTCCCCCCCCCCCCCCCTCTGAAAATTAGTGAAGAATATTGCGACACGGGTTTAGCTGTCCCTGTCTCTCGCTCCAGTTTAGCAATGGAGAGACAAAGGTGGCTGGGCATGGTGCCGGCCACTCTATGCCATTACGAATGATGCTTGCCTCCTCCACAGGTGCTCGCAGCACCTTGTCCCAGTAGTATATGCAAGCCATACGAATGACCTTTGTTCATTGTGTATTCCTCCACTCTCAGCACTGGGGAGACAAAGGCGGCTGGCCACGGTGCTGACCTCACCGCCCCGTTTGTATGTATGCGTGGGAGGGGAGCACGTGACGTATTTAATGTCATTGCCTTGGCCGATAAGGCTTTATACTTTGAGCGCTGCATTTCATCACCAGGTTGTGGGCAGTAACCCTCTGATAAATTCGGTCGAATTTCTGTCGTGCACCGCGCTGACCTTCATAGGTGCTCGACTCAAAACACTTGGCCCACCAGACGCTTAATTTCAGCTTAGTCGGTGGCCGGCACACTACACACACCTGGTATAAACTATTTATTTAAAGTAAACAATTGTTTATTTTACCAGGTAAGGCCCACTGAGCTATGTAGCTCTTTTTCAGAAGCGACATGGCCACAAACGACTGCTCAACGAAAGTGGCTTATCGTGTGGAAATGTACAGCAGCCCGGACGCTCTGAACGCGTGTTTCTAAATGTGGGGCGAAAAACCGGAGGACCTGGAGAAAAATCCACGCGACCACCGGGAGAACACGCAGACTCCAAATACACAGCAGGCGTCAGGGTCGGGATCGAACCCACGACCTCCTGTATACCTGGCGAGATAGTTAACATCTCCTAGCCACCGTGGCACCCTCTCGCTGTAGGGCTGTGGATACCATTTGCACTAAGCATATGCCCACCTCCAGTCTTCAATGAGAAATGACGCCCAGGCTCCGCCAGTCCATGCAACCACACCGTCACTGTTCCTCCAGGGTTCCCGATGGCCAAGACTCCCGGACCAAAGTACTACTCCCCGAGCCTCACCCGGCACGGCCTGGAGGGGTCGCCGGTCTACTCGATACAGGGCCGCCACCGCGAACGCAGTACGGCGCCCGCTAACGAGACACACGCTCTAGATGTAGAACAGTCATTTATCTTAACCTGGGGTGCATCACGCACCACCCCGACCCCTCCCCCCACGGGAGTTGTGAGATGCCCCTTCTGGGGGGTGGCAAGACATGGCCAGATTTTTTTTGTACAAGGTAAATCATCGCAAAAGGCAAATTATGCACCACGGGCACGTAAGTTACAACTTCCTCTGCTTCCTAAACCCCCTATGTAGTCATTAGCATTACGCAGTATTTTTTTTGTTAACGATTAAGAACCAAACTGGTGCAAGGCTGTAGTAAAGGTTAAGAACCACACTGATCTAGAGCAGGGATCGACAGCATGCGGCTGTAGAACCGCATGCTACCTTTTGGGCTCCCCCCCCTCCCCCCCGTTGCGACTCTTTGGCTTGCGGGCAGCCGTTTAAAAAATTAAATCTTAAAAGTAGTTACTACACCACTGATGATTACTGAATTTAATATGCAAGGGAATGGGTCACGGTGACAACAAAGTGTACAGGTATAGGTTACCACGTGGACTTTACATTTTGTCGTAGATTCATGCGTGATTGTTCACAAGTGACTTCTCACGTACGACATAATAATTTAAAACATTTGTAAATCACATCACGTACGCCCCTCTCCTCCTCCCGCGTAACCCCCACCCCCCCCCCCACCCCCCACCCCCGGTTGAGAACGACTGTGTTAAGGCCTTAACTGGGAGTTGGGGTGGCGTGGTTTGGCCGGCGCGGTGGTGGGATCTTTCTGCCTTTTCTCTCCAGCGCTGGCGTTCCGCACGCCGGGCCCGGGTGCGTACGCGAGCGAGCGTCTCTTCCCGCCGAGCGAGGCGCGCGCTCCCGCCTACTCGCTCGCCGAGCGCACCGCGTCGCGGAGCGTGGACCTTGTACCGGCGCCCAACGCCTACAGGTGAGACCGAGGGGTTTGCGGTGGCTCTCTCCCTCTCTCTCGGTGTTTTTTTTTTCTCTCTCCGGGTCCTCCGGTTTTTCCCTCCACGTTTAGAACCAACATCACGCGCTCAGAGTATTTGGCTGCTGCTGTTGCTGCTGCTGCTGCTGCTGCTATAAATCTCTCCACACGACGATAAGCCGGGCCCGGGTGCGTACGCACCATCATTTGTGGCCAGGTCGCTTCTGACAAATAGCTATAGAGCTCAGTGGGCCTTACCTGGAAAAAATAAAAAAAACATGTTGAATAAATTGCGCGTGACGTCAGTGGCACGGCTCGGTTTCTGCAGTGAAAAAAAACCAACCTGGCGCCTCCTGAGCCGCGACAGCCTGGCCCGGCACGGCCCTGGCATGGCTCGGATATGCCAGTGGGGGAAAAAAAAAATGGGGTTCGCGATTCAGCGAACGTCAGCTAATTTTAACACACTGGCTTGGTGGCTTCACGTTCTTTCACCGTTAAGCCTGCCGAGCACGCTGGGCTCCCACCTGCCGCACCGCCGCTCGGCGCCCAGCTTCTCGGTGTCGGCCCGCCGCCCCGTTGGGGGCCACGCCGAGGACCTGGCCCGGACGCCGGGCCCGGCACGCTACGACGCCGCCCACGCCTCGGACCTGCGGCCGCACCGGGCGCCGGCGTGGTCGCTGCAGAGCCGCAGCCGCCTCCCCGGCGACAACACGCAAAAGCCGGGCCCCGGGGCGCACCGGCCCGAGACGTGCGTGTCGGTGACGACGCGCCGCGCTCCGACGTTCCGCATGGGGGTCCGGCACTCGGACTACGTCATGCCGCTCATTTGCTGACGACGCGGTGGCGGTGGCGGCGGCGGCGACGGCGGCGGTTCACGCGTGCTGCCGCCGGTGCTGAAGCGGAGAGAGCGAATGCTCTTTGGTTCTTTCGGTAAAAGTCACGCGGGTGGAAATGAAATGAGTCACGACGTTTCGAGCGCACCACAGGCGCCCGTCTTCAGGTGAAAATCGCGACAGCTGAGACGTCTGCTGTGAGCAGCAACGATGTCTGCTCACTACCCACGTGACTTTACCGAAATAAATTTCGATTTAAAGCTTTCGTGACTGCAAGGATTCATCTTCTTTGGTTCTTTCGGTAAAGTCACGTAGAAGGAGAATAAAATAATAAAATAACACAATAAAATTCTCACGACGTTTCGGCCACAACGCAAGCGGCCGTCTTCAGGTGAAAGGTACAGAACAGACGGCCGCTTGCGTTGTGGCCGAAACGTCGTGAGAATTTTATTGTGTTATTTTATTATTTTATTCTCATTCCACGTGACTTTACCGAAAGAACCAAAGAAGATTTACCGAAATAACCAAAGGGTATGGATTCCTGCGGTCACGAAAGCTTCAAATCAGGAGAGAGCAAAGTGGAAAGTGGAAAGGTGGTGAGGCTTGCGGCGGGGAAGAGGGAAGGATGCAGGCGGTTAAGCCCACTGGCTCTCAACCGGGGGGGCGCGTGGAACCCTGGCGGTGCGTGGCAATGCCCCAGTGTCTTAGACTGTCACGTTCGTTGTGCTTGTTGTGCTTACGCTATTGATTTTCATTGTTCATACATTTCTTTCCTGGAACTACGTTGGGTCAAGGCAAGGGGGTACTCAGTTGAAACGAAAACTCAACACGGGGTACAGTGGCAGAAAAAAGAAAAAGGTTGAGAACCACTGGTTGAGCGAACCAACGGCGGGGGCTGCTCCCGAGTTAGCCGAGCAGATGCGAGCACAAGCCCTCGGACTGATCGCCAACCCAATCGACTGTACAACTAGCCACGGCTCCAATTCTGATCACAACCCGCAAGCCTGATTGACTGGCCGTTAGGCCAACATCGCTGAGCCTAGCACCAAGAAACTAACCAAACCGCCACTGGTATAGTCCCTAACAATGACGCTAATCCTGACCAGCTCGTCAATCAGACACTAGTCCTAGTCTACTAATCCTAACCCTTGTCACCCGTCCCAAGCAAAAACACTGACTCTACCCTTAACCATCCACACATTGGTAATAACTAACTATTGAAACTATTTTTGCATTATGCCAGCTAAGGTCTACTGAGCTGTGTAGCTGTTTTTCAGAAGTGACCTGGCCACAAATTCTGTCTCAACGAAGTGGCTTATCATCGTGTGGAAATTTATAGCAGCCAAATACTCTAAATGCTTCTAAGTGTGGAGGGAAAAACCGGAGGACCCGGAGAAACATCCACGCGACCACGAGGAGAACACGCAAACTCCAAATATACAGGCGTCAGGGTCGTGATCGAACCCGGACCTCCTGTATATCAGGCGAGGGAGTTAACATCGCCTAGCCACCGTGATGATTATGAGAGAGAGAAATATGCAAGATCCAAATATACAGCAGCAGACATCGTCAGGGTCGTGATCGAACCCCGACCTCCTGTATATCAGGCGAGGGAGTTAACATCGCCTAGCCACCGTGATGATTATGAGAGAGAGAAATATGCAAGATCCAAATATACAGCAGCAGACATCGTCAGGGTCGTGATCGAACCCGGCCCAGACCCCAAACTAACGAACCAACCAGACCAGAGTGCTCGCTCTCCGACTCGGCCAAAGCCGAACTACAACAACCCCCTTCCACGTACCGTATGTAGTAAGTACGTTGAACTTTTTTCGCACCGTGCGTAGCCAACCGTGCTAATAGGAGGTGCGCGGGGCGGCGAGGAAGGAGCTCCTTTGACTTTTTGTTCCCTTTTAAGTTTTGGTGTGGACAACACAAACCTGTCAACCCTTTATCAGTGCCTACCTTATTGCGGACCAATTCAGACCTTCTTGATCACCCGTGCCCTTAGGGGCCGTCCATAAATGACGTCACGCACCTAGGGGGGGGGGTGTCAGACATTTGTGACGATGTGTGACGAGGGGGGTGGGTTGAGAAATGTGACGTCACATCAAAATGCGCAACTTTAAATAAATATAGGCAACACGTTCTACTTAATTAAATATACTTTTTAATAAAAATGTTTTCTCCTACAACATCAGAGTGCAGCGCCACATTAAATACGCACTACAATGACAATAGTTTAAAGCGTTTTGAAGCATGTTTTATATATTTTGGGGGGGGGGGGGCAGAGCTTTGTGACGTCATATTTGAGGGGGGGTCTGACTTTTTGTGACGCCGTGTGACGACGGGGGGCGGGGTCAAAAATTGTCCAAAACCGCGTGACGTCATTTATGGACGGCCCCTTAAACATTTCAACCTTCATCCTACAAAATCCCATCACAAGGGAGAAACACAAACAAATAGACAAAAACATGTTTTGGCCGTATTGAAACGGCTGCACGCCGTATGGACCTGAAAACTCAATTTCCCTGCACAAGAATACTGGGTAAACCGTGTGGGTTGACAGCTGTGACAACACGTGGCCCATCGGAGCGTATGGGGAAGTTTGCGCGGGGGGCATCGATCTAAAGAGTGACTTTATTTTGGTGGTGGTGGTGGGGGGTGGGGCGAAGGTGGGGGGGGGGGGGGGGCTGCCGAATCGAGCACCGTTCCCCCTGCTTGACAACCGTCTAAGTAAGCTTTCACGCGTGGCTCGTCTTGAGAATAACTTATTCACGTCTTGGGATAGTGTTGCATTATACATGCGCCCATGTAGAGCGAAAATACACGCTTTTGGCTTCATCTGTTATGCACGCATACTGTAAATGCTGTATTGTGCACTGGAGTGTGTTCCATTAAATGTTGGTACTGTATTTTCAACAATGAATTGCGTTTAAAGCGAAACGAAACAATACACCCTCCCGGGAAGCTGCCACGATGCAATCCGCACACCGGACTTTTCGGTTTCATTTATTTTCAGTTTCATTTATTAGGAGGTATAACCCTGTGAGCCATGCGGCTCTTGACTCGGGTGCAACCGCAACAAAACATGAACAAGGATAAACATCTTAAAGGGACTTGCACTCCGGAGGTCGCAGGTTCTGTTCCATCTCCCAGCGCAGCGGTTGCATAGTTTTCATAGTTTCAGTTTATTTTGGTATAGCCCTGTGAGCCATTCGGCTCTTGAATCGGGTGCAACCGCAACAAACAAAACAGCAAAAACATGAACAAGAAAAACATCTTAAAGTGACTTTGTGCATGTGCAAACAGAAAATCCAGGAAAAAAAAACATCAAAATATTCCTGAAATAGCACCGTACACCAACGCTGTGTGCAAAAATCCCAGTGGGATGCAGGTAAAACAACAACAACCACCACAAGACAACTAAGATTAAGGCCATCAGTCTAACTCCGTACTACAATAAACAAAAACATGGCCAAACCAAAAAACTTTTAGAAATCACCAAAAAATAAAGCCATAAATGCAATGTAACAGTAATCATAGGAACTGTGACCGAATTTTTAATAATAAACTACAAAAATAACATGTAACACCAAACCCTAGAGCCACAGCTGGCTGCATGAGTCACACCACAAACAACAGAAGCATCAGTCGGAGTATCACATGTTTCAATGCACCTTTAAGATCAGCACACTAAATCAAAATACAGATAATACTTTGCAGCGGTCATCCGGAGCGAAACATTTTATTTTATTTAAGGCCACTGAATAGCAGTGGCAGCTAGGGGTGTACAACTCCTCTAGAGCAGTTTTGAGTGAAGATCTCATAGGTAGTGATTCAAGTTGCAATTTATTGGCAATATCATTCCAGACCCTGGGGGCATCAATAGCAAAGGCCCTTCCTCCGGTTTTTGTACGGCAATAGGGAATGTGAAGCTGGTAGATGAGCGAAGACCTGAGGTCAAATTTGTTCTTTGAAACAGAGAGGAGATCCAGCAGGTAGTCTGCGGATTTTTCTGTAAGTACATCGTGAATAACTAAGATCTGGTGTACAAGCCGTCGAACATTAAGAGATGTTAAGTTTGACCCGATGTAGAGATCGCAGTGGTGAGTCCTATATGGGCAGTTCAATGCAAATCTTAAGGCCGAGTGATAGATGGAATCAAGCTTTTTCAGTACAGTACTTGGGGCTGATTTATACACGATATCACAGTAGTCAAGTAGAGGCAGTATGGTAGCTTTTATCAATTCCAAACGGAACATAGGGGGGAAGCAGTGCTTGTGTCGATACAGAAAACCAATTTTTATTTTTGTCTTTTTACCAATATAATCAATGTGATCTTCAAAATTCAGTTTTGAATCCAGGATGACCCCAAGATACTTATAGATCTTGACTTGCTCTATTTGATAATTATTTAAGGAATGTAATTTGGGAAAAATAACTTCCTGCTTTAGTCCCGGTGAGAAGCATAGCACCTTGGTTTTGGAGGTATTCAGGACTAGTTTAAGAGCAACTAGCTGATGTTGTAGTTTGTTGAAATCACCCTGGAGCTTAGCAATCACGTCATCCGGAGAGCGGCCAGCAGTAATCAGTATCGTGTCATCTGCAAAAAGATTTACCCTTGAATGATCCAGGTCAGTGCCCAAGTCATTGACATAAAGAGAACAAGAGGGGGCCGAGGATGGAACCCTGTGGAACCCCTTTTGTTATCTTAACACTGTTTGACCTCCAACCATCTGTGAATCCAGTTTGGGTGCGATAAAAGAGGTATTTTTTTTTTACCATTTTACTGTGTTTTTGGAAAAACCGAGGCAATTTAATTTACTAAGCAGGGTGTTGTGGTCTACTGTATCAAAAGCTTTGGACAGGTCAAGAAAAAGACAGGCACAGTACTGGTTGGAACATCGGTGGCAAGTTTAATAAATCTAGGGGCAGCAGGGGGTAGGGGCCCACTGCCCCTATCCACCGAGCAGTGTAAATGTGGGTTCATCACACTTCGTCGGTCGGCAGGTTGCGTGTGGTGTGGTAAGGTGGTGGGGCGCCACGGTGGCTAGGGAGATGTTGACTACCTCGCCAGGCACACAGGGGGTCGTGGGTCCTATCCCGACCCTGACGCCTGCTGTATATTTGGAGTTTGCGTGTTCTCTCTCTCTCTCATCATCATCACGGTGGCTAGGGAGATGTTGGCTACCTCGCCTGGCACACAGGGGGTCGTGGGTCCTATCCCGACCCTGACGCCTGCTGCTGTATATTTGGAGTTTGCGTGTCTCTCTCTCTCTCTCATAATCATCACGGTGGCAAGGGATATGTTGACTACCTCGCCTGGCACACAGGGGGTCGTGGGTCCGATCCCGACCCTGACGCCTGCTGTATATTTGAAGTTTGCGGTGTCTCTCTCCCCATGGTCGTGTGGATTTTTTTTCTAGTTCCTCCGGTTTTCCCCCTCCACATTGAAGAAACACGCAGAGTATTTGGCTCCTCTAAATTTCCACGTGATAAGCCACTCCTTGAGCTATCATTTGTAATAGCCAGGTCGCTTCTAACAAAGAGCTACATAGCTCAGTGGGCCTTACCTGGTCAAATAAAAAAAGAGTGTAATTTAAAGTGTGAGTATGGCCCACCTCTTGCAAGACGTCTAGTCAGCACGGAAGAGTAGGCCCAAACACCATCTGGAGGGGCTCTCGAGAGCTCCCCTTGGTGGAGGCCCATCCGCCAGCAATGTGGAAAGAAACGTCGCCTGTTATACCCTCTGTACCATCGAATGCCGTGAAGCAAATAGAACGTGACTATACTGTAGAAGGTGAGCTGATGCAACGCACGACTTCATGGAGCGTAGCCAAATGAAATCTGATCGCAGATGAACGCGTTTTTTTGGCTGCACTGTATAATACAAACATATATCACATACATCAACAGCACGATTGCCGCGTGAGTAAAGTGTGTCGTAAACCCTCCGCCACCTGACGCAGCTGATGAACAGAGTCACCGCGTGATGAGCGAACGTGCCGATGTATTGCTGGTAAGTGTTTGAGCTACCAACGCACCTGTGGTGTTGCTGAAACGGCAATAATCGGGTCATGAGGCGTAAAAACTACATTTATTACAACAGTTTTTTTGTGTTTTAGTTTGTTGCCCTTCCCCTGTACCCTCCTATTAGCACGGTTGGCTACGTACGGCGCGAAAAAAACTTGAACATACATAATACAATCATTTGGCACGTGTGTTCGTCACGTGACAACTTTGTTAATTGGCCGAGTCGGGTGGAGGAGGTTTCACGACACACATTTTACTCACGCGGCGATCTGACCCCAGCAACAACAAAAAAAATCAATAACGAATCCTAACATTGGTCACAAAAGCGTGTTCAAAATACATCAACAATAGTAGTGGTTTGTGACGATCGTGATGACGCGCGTCTTTTGATCAAATAAATAGTCGTTGGATGTGATGATCTGAAATACAACGCGAAAGTCCGTCAATGGGTGAGCGAAGCAACCAGCCTGCCAACACTCACGTGAAGTTGCCCGTCCTGCAGGGCAGCTCACCGCAGTCTCACGAGAAACAAAGCTGGCACTTTTGAACGACCAAGGACATCTTCACGCCGAATCCTCGTGACGTTTTTGTGTATCTCGAGTCACGAGCGGAATTTTACGAAGAACACCTTTCCCCTATCCTATCGACAGCAGTGGAACGCACGAACAGTGCCCACACGCGCACGAGTTCGTAGTACACGTGCCGTGATTAACATGGCAATGGAGTACGGTACAGGGGTTGTTGCTAGCCGTGCGTTTTTTTTAGTTGGGCACTGGCAAGGACGGTGTAGGAAACAACGAAACGTGTCCTTCAAAGTCTTTCTTCAACAAGAAAACTTTGGCCCTAAAGGAGAAAACATATAAGTGACGATTTCGGCAAATACCGATGGTCGTTGCATATACAAAAACAAAATGCTACAAACGTGCTATGGCGAAGTAGGGCCATTGCCCGAAACGTCGCTTATTATATATATTTTAAGTCAGTATTAATGACGAATGTGTCGAGTTATTAATTATTTTATTAACTATACACTTTAAAAAAACCTTTTATTTTAGCAGGTAAAACCCACTGAGCTATATAGGTCTTTTTCAGAAGCGACCTGGCCACAAATGAAAGCCCAATGAAGTGGCTTATCAATAGGAAATTTATAGTAGCCAAATACTATAAACGCATGTTTCTAAATGTGGAGGTAAAAAAAAACGGAGGACCTGGAGAAAAATCCACGCGACCACGGGGAGAACATGCAAACTCCAAATATACAGGCGTAAGGGTCGGGATCGAACCCATGCCCGCTATATACCAGGCGAGGTAGCTAACATCTCGCCACCGAGATAAGCCACAGCAGCAGGAGCAGCAACCAAGTGGCATCAGCATCATCAGGACATTGAAAGTGCGATCACGTGGAAAGCACGTGACGCCGGCTTTGGAGGGGGTGGGGGGGACCGGTGAAAGTGGGCGGGGGCTTCGTGGCAGAGTAGGCGGGGTCCTGCGGAGAAGCGGGCGGGGCTTACGATAAAGTGGGCGGAGGGCTACGGATAAGCGGGCGGAGCCTGTGTGACGAGTTGAGCGGAGCTTGCGACGAGTTGGGCGGAGCCTGCGACGAGTTGGGCGCAGCCTCGTTGTAATGCGTCCGGATTGGCGTGCGCGGCGCACGTGACTGGCCCCCACCCCGCCTTCCCCCACCACCGTGTCTGTGGTCAAGTGCCGCCTCAGCTTGCGAGACGCTGCTGGTTCTCTCGCTCCCCGTGGGGTTCCAGCGCGCGTTACTACCCCCCACCTCCCTCGTCGTATAAAAAGCTACGCTCCGAAACACCGTAGCTCAACATTAATCAGGGGACGCACCCAACGTAGATGTCCTAACTGGCCGTCGTCGTTTAATTATTTTTTTTGGAATACCAGCTCCGACACTGCGAATCACACCCACCCCCCCCCCCGGCAAAGCACGCAACCTCTACCGTGTACCCATCACCTCGGCCGGTAGGACTAACTATCCGAGAGTCGGTGCTAGGCCGCAGTTGGGAAAAAAAAATTAAGATTGTGTTTTTTTGTTTGTTACAAACAAAACGTCATCCCTCCACACCGAGGGCACGATGGACGTGCACTCGGTGAGCGCGGCAATGCCGGAGATGCCGGCGATGGTCGACGGCGTAAAGCTTGCGGCGGTGGCGGCGGTGCTGTACGTGATGGTGCGGTGCTTGAATCTCAAGTCGCCCACGGCATCGCCCGACCTCTTCTTCCAGGACTCGCCACTGGCGCGACACCTGCTCAAGTCGTGTCCCCTGCTCACCAAAGAGTGAGTGACGGACGGGCATTGGGGTGGGGGGAAGCGATGGGTGCGTGAGTGGGTACGAGAGGAACTCCGGCTCTTAGCTCCTGTTGGATTGTGCGTTTGGGGGGGGGGGGGGCGCGGTGGCAGTAGAGCTATTGTGTGTGACAAAGAGCTTCATAGCTCATCGGATTCCTCCAGTCCGAAAGAGAGATTGTGATTACTTTATTAGAGATTGTGATGTTGGAACACCGCTGTGAAGTTGGGGTTGGGCCAGCCAGGGCCCAAGACTAGCGCCAGGCCCTGTTTGTTGGGCACGGTTCGGACAAAAAAAAACCAACCGAGCAAATGATTAGTGAGGAACCCAAGCAGTTCCACGGGGGCCCTGTGTCTCTGACAAAACATTGGACCTGCATGAAATGTCAGCTCGAATTTTGGATGTTATTGAACGGTGAGATAAACACCCGGCACTTGCGCAGATGCCCCGTGGATTCGTTGCATCGCGCGGTGGTGGCTTGGGGGAAGAGGCCTCCATCTGGAGTTGATTGATTATTGGATGATGATGATGATGAATTAACGGAACAGGATAGTGGACGTACATCAAATTAAACACGCTCATCTCTTAACGCGTCTACCCCTGTGCGTGCAACTCGCTACATCTGTATTCTACATCTGTCTTTTATTAAAATTACTCTCCTCTCGCGACTTAAGTATTTCTTTGACAGCTTTTTTCATATCACTATTTCCTAATTTAAAGATAATCTCCCCCCCCCCCACCCAAATAGTTCTGCCTCGAGCCTCCCAATGGGCTGGCACCACCTCTGAGCGAGGGTAAGTGGGGGGACAAGGAAGGTGAGATTAAAATATACTGTCCCCGAAGATTGGGTATCCAGTTACAGACCTTAATTGGGCTTTCGTTTATGAAATATTTCAGGGACACCTCTAGTTATCCTGAAGGTTTAAATGGCTAATGTTAGCGGTTCGAGTTGGGGTTTGGAGTGCGGTTACAGTTTTTGGTGGTTCAGGTTAGGTACGGTAGGATCAAAACTGACCTATAAATTTAGATGAACTCTTGCAATACGTCTTTGCCAGCGTGGAAGGGTAGGCCAATTACCCTCTATAGAGTGGTTTTCAAGAGCCCTCTAAAGTGGAGACCCATCCGCCAGCAGTGGCGTGAGCAAACCATTTAATGCTTTGTCACGTACAGTGCGAAATAAGTTCTGCATACATACAGGACTCATTCATTAACTTTTCCCTTATGATGAAAGCACCCAGAACCATCTCGTCCCATCTCAGAAGGTCAGCATTATTGTGCCTGGATTGTGCTTGGATGTGTGACCACAAATGCCTAACAAAGGTGTTATGGGCTACGTTGTCATCAGAGGGCGTTGCAGAAATATCACTTGCTGTACTGCACTTCTATGCTACCACGTCTAGTCTCCCTGCCTTAACCAACCCACGCTGACCGATGTAGTGAAGTATGGTCAATTAGCCACCTTCATGTCAAGACGAGGCCCTGATCCATCAGCGGATTGACAAATAGGTTGGGCATGTAAACAAAAGCCGCGGCTAGCGTAAGTGGCAAGCGAAATCTGAACCTGTGCTGGTGGGCACACCATTCAACAACCCACACGAACTAGCAGTTAAGAAGCATGGTGGTGCATGCCTTTGATCTAGCACTTTGGGGAGCGTGGGATGGTGGATCACAGAGAGATTTCGTAAGAATCTGCTGGCTAACTTGGTCTACGAGTTTGTTGCGACCTTGGAGGAGATGGCAGCACAGCAAGTTGGCTCTTGAATATATCTCTGCGGGGTTTTGAGTGCCGTTTCCTCGTATTTGCGGTGGATTTTATTTGAACAGATACTGACATAGACAAAATACAAGAGTCTTTTGGCCAGACATTAAAAAAAATAGTGTATTTCCTCCGATTATATTTATGGGTCTTTAAATGGCATTAGGCCACAAGCAGCCTTGTTATGGTAAAAATCCCTTTCACAGACACCGTAGGGAGCATTCAGTGCAGTACAGCAACACGGCTCAAATATCTTTCTTTTTACCTGCGGGTCCTGTTAGATGTACAAGTTGAAGTGTAAATGAATAAATGGAAATACTGTACGAAAGGTGTGTGTGTCACAATATAATATTCGTGTCACTCCGAGCCATTGTTGTGCGATTGTTTGCTTAGGCAGGCGAATTCATGACAGGGAGTCACGTTTCTAAAGTCTGAAACGAATCGTAATAATTTGTCTTGTCTTTCGAGTCCACCAAGGCAGCGCACACTCGTTTTGTGAAGTCGCCTGGCCTGTTTAAAACGCATTGCTCTTTACATCAAACTTATTTATGACATTGCTCAAACTTTCCAATGCGTGACCTCATTAAACGGTGTCTTGATATTTGCTAAGGCTTTCCCTGGGTTAATGGTGTGTTATTATTGTTATTACCGTTTTTAATGTGACCTTGTTTTCAGGCTATGATCGGGTTAAGGGGAATTGATTCTTTTGGGTCTGATTTTTTTTTAGTTCACATCATTTTTCCCGGAACGGCTGACGGGGTGTCCCAAGCCATTTTTGTTTTCACGAGGGGCGGGTCCTGTTACAGTGGTACGTTCGTCCAATTCCTCTCTTTGATATAGAGAGTTGTTATACCCATCATGCCGCGTAGGGATAGCACTCAAAGGGTCCTTACAGATGGGTTAATTAACCCCACTCGTTGCCTCATCCTGTCCACCGTGGAACCCAGTTTGGTTGGTTTAACGCGCAGGCTTTCGCGACCAATATCCATAATGGAGGTTTTTGGGTTTGATCGCGTAAATATAAATGTGTCGTTAAACCCGCCACCACCCGACACAGCCAAATTAGTAAGGTTTGTCACGGAAACAAAACATGCCAATTCGTTACAAGTTCAGCACAAAGCCGTTTTGGAGAGTAAACCCACAACATTTACAATTGGGTTTCAACATCACAGCATCTCTTCTTGATCAAATGATGATGGTTATTGGTTTATCGACAATGGACGGATAACGCGTTCAGTCAACATCACCGACCTGGATTTGGACTTGCAATTTTATGACTGGGTCAAATGCCGTTTGCCACAGCACCACCTGACTGGGTAAATGAGTTTACAAATGACGATGTTCCTGCTGGCAGGCAGCTGGGGCTGATAAGCTTCGGCTGTGACTCACCTGGATTAATACAAACATATCGGACTGTTGCTATGCACTCATAGAATATTTACCCGTGCTGAGGACTTGTTCTACCAGACTCACTGTTTTGCTTCGTCCATCGCATGTTATTCAACCACCACCACCGCTTAAACTATACAATTTTTTTTACTCTTATTTTGCTAGATAAGGCCCACTGAGTTATGTAGCTCTCCTTCAGAAGCGACCCGACTCACAGATTATAGCTCTACGAAGTGGCTTATCGTGCGGCAATAATATAGCAGCCCAATGCCCTAAATGCATGTTGATTGTAAAAATGTGGAGGGAAAAACCGGAGGACCCAGAGAAAAAAAAAACACTTGACCACTGCGAGAACATGCAAACTCCAAATATGTAAAGGCGTCAGGGTCGGGATTCGGACCCATGACCTCTATACCAGGCGAGGTAGTTAACATTTCGCCACCATGGCGCCCTGTGTTCAAACCACCACCACCACCACCACACTGCAGGTCACAACACTTCCTGCTACATGTCTCACTCTGTTTTGGAATTCCCTCCCATTGTCTCTTTTCCCAAGTTCTTATAATAATGACAACAACTTTGCTCAATTCAATAAGCGTATTCAATTTTACGCGTTATACCCTCGGCAGCGCCATTTGTTGCCGACCGCTTGGAATTTTGGTCTTGCGGGTCCTCTACTCTGCAGCCATATATAAACGAGTAAATTATTTGAAAGTCTGCTCATGTAAAATTGCTGCACTGTAGAAATTGTGATGAGAGTCTGTATAAAAATAACTTGAATGAGCAACACGCATCTCTGCATGCCCTTGAGTCATGTCTGGGTAATTTGTGCGAGATATAAACAGGGACTGCTGTATATGCAGCATTGCATCACGGCATAGACTCGTGATACCCATCTCGCTGTGCCTCGACACTTGTTTGAGGTTCCGGCTCTAACCCGCACTCACTTACACAAGTCATTCGCTAATTCTGTTGCTTCTTTGATAAGTGGTTGCGCAATGTGTATGTTCGCACGTTGAACTTCTTTCGCACCGTTCGTAGCTAACCGTGCTCATTGGAGGTGCGGGGTAAGAACAACAAACTAAACATCAAAAGGAGTTCTTAAGAAATAAAACACATTCGTCACTATCACAGTGTGGTGTTAACAGAAAAATATATAAAATAGGTGACGTTTCAGGCAATAGCCCTTCTTTTGTGTGCCATGAAGAAGTTCCATTGGCCGAAATGTCGCCCATTCTAATATTTACTTGTTTTAAGACCACATGCTGATTTTGATGAATGTATTGAGTTTCGTCACTCATTTACAGTTTAAATTGTATTGCTTCTGAGTAGATGTCGACTTGGTGGCACACACGTTTGTCAGCGTTATGGAGTAGGGTACAAAGGCCGATGTTTGTGCCTGCCATGTACATCTTGCGTACAAAGCCTCCACCCCCCACCCTGACATCGCTCACTTAATCCTCATCAATCATCGATGAAAGGACGATTTCGAGTCGGTGTCCATCGCTTGTCGCCATTTATTGACCTTCGGAAATCTGCGAGTCATCATTATTCTCGTCGTCGTGGTCATCGGTCACCAGCGCTATCACCGTAGTTCCATCGGTCGTCATTATAAAGCCTTCGGTATATTGTCATCGCCTTGGTAATTGTGCCCCCGCATAGCACATCACTGCTGTGTCGCTGTAGATCTGGCTGTGAATTAGCTGTCACTTTAGATCTGCATGTAAGTTTGCAGGTGGACTGAACCAATAAACCGCTTAATGGCAGCGCAGGAAATCGAGAAGGGATTTTTTGACTCGCAACGGGTCTGCTACCTCTCTCATCTCACTCTACTCTCCTCTACGA